GCTGCAATGGAGGAGGCACACTTCTTGACTCATACTAGATGGTGTTATTTTTTTTAAAAAAAAGGGGGGTATCAAAGCAAACACATTGTCAGAACAGGAGGGCAGACTGTATGAAAGGCAGGCACTCTCTCAAAGAGGCAAGTTGTTAGGATGAATGATATGTCAAAATCCTTTTCTTTTCTCTTTCCCCTGCCCTGCTCCCTATTTTGGCTCTAGAGATTAGTTCAGTTAGTTTTAAACCAGGGTTCTTGGTTTCCCTCTTCAAATAGTTACTATTGTGTTGTAATAATTTACTAGAATTATGTGCAGATATGCCACAACTCTCCTGCTTATTATTTTGTATACACTTTGTGATTTTTAAAAAATATATACCCATAATGCTTAGTGTCTCAGGTATCAAGAAATCTTAGGGCTCCAAAAGTATCTTCTAAGAGCACTTCCAAGCCTTCCTAATCTCTTATATAAAAATCAGTTTTATCCCATAAGCAGAATTAATTTTTGTAAGTTCCATGCTGATATGCAAACACTATTAACCTAAGATCAAAGTTGGCCTTACTCCGTATCATTTTTACTGTTCATGATCTATAGGCAAATATATTAACTTTGGCATTTGTGTGCTCTGGATAATCTACTTTCCAACATTGAATCTAATTACTCACTGCTTCTTTGCTAACCCCAGCTTCCTAATAGATGAATATCCTCCTTACCAAGACCCTCAAGAGCCCACTAATTGCAGATTAATTTTTAAAAAACCCTATACTCCCCCAAAATACAATCCATTTATAAAATTGCTAGTAGTGTACTCCCCCTGCACACACAACCAATTTTCTACATTTGATGAATTTTAAAAAAATGACTTTCAAGAAGCATGTAGGAGGTGGACTGCAGGGGGGGAAAACCCTATAAAATAGATACCCTGAAAAGTTTAGGAAGCCTTCATCAATGATTGGGCCCTGTATTCCAAGCCACAATGTCAGGTGGCATCTCTGTAATGGGGAGGTGGGGCTTTCTGGCATCCCCCTCCCCATTCAGATGCTTTTCCCAGGAATATTTTATTATGCAGGGTAGCTAGTAGTAATAGCAGTGCTGAGGAATGAAGGAAGATCATCTTTCAGTCAAAAGCTTCGTAGCAGTTATTATAATGGGTGGAGGTGGCTAGACGCTTGGGGAGAAAAGATAAAAAATCCCCTCCGATGTAAAAACAGATGCAATCTTCTTTTCCATCACTTGCACATTTGCAAATGTAGAGAGAGGCCTTTTCATCTTTGCAACTGATCCACTCTAAAGCAAGTAAGTGCCTATGGCCCCCTTCATGAACAGTGGATTAAATGGATAAATATGGTGCATTAGGCTACAGGGAGTCAACTGCTTTTATGTTGTCTGCACTCTCTGCTCTGCTTTCTCTCAGAAACCCAGAAAGTAATTATGGCTGTGAAAGGAAAGATGCAATGGAGTTAACAAGTTCCTAAGAGGAAGGCAATAAAGTTGAAGGATAAGTGTTATGGAAAGTATATGAATTTTGTCAATTTCTGCATTGATCATGGAGACAAATACTTTTAGGAAAACCAGTCTCAGCATACAACTCAAAATAGATTTTTTGAAAAGATTTTATTGACGCCATTTTTCAAGGGATGTTTAATTACAGTAGTTGAGGCCAGGGTTAAAATTTCAAGATGGTGAGTGAAACCTTGCCCCCTTTTTAGGTGCAGTCATCCCAACAATAAAAAAAATATGAGGTTACACTTTTAAAATCTGTCATGATATACTGTATGAAGCTATTCATCGCGTTGTTTTTTCAGCATTAGGAATTGAACCACTGTCTCAGCTTCACATTAGAATATTATTATTATTATTTTTTAAAAAAAGAATATTATTTATTCTAAGAAAATTAAATGTTCAAACTAAATTTGTCAGTCTGAAACCAGTAACCTGAAACAGGCCCAGGTTGTTTTTGCAATACTGAGATGAAACCCTAATCTAAAAATTCCATCTCCCATTTTTCCCACAGAAAAGTCGTGAGTCCTGGGACAAGTAGTGAGGTCCATCTTTTATCTGGGGTTCAGGGCTCAGGAAATTGAACTGTGGGGACCTGCACTGACCCATCTTATCCTCCTTTGGGCTGCCAACACAGCTACTCATTGGCGATCACCGATCAAGGCAGCATCTGGGGGGCCCTAGAGAGAGAGAGTCCTTGCCTTGGAAGACATGGATCTCATTTATGAAGAGAGGAAAGTTCAGACCCAAAGCATAATATTTGTGCATCTCATCTGATTTCAATTTCAACAGCTGCTTTAAGCCAGGTTGCTGCTTGCTGTTGTGTTTTGAGTAGTGTGGAGACAGCAGGGCGGCAGAGTAAGAGGCCTCGGCAAATGCTGGCAGGCAACTTCAACAGACTGTGGTGGAAACTGATCAGCTATCCTCCCCACTCCCCAAAGAGAAACCATGCTGTTTTGCGTGATGCCCTCTCTTGACTTTACATTGCACCATGTAGATATTTGCACTGGGATATATTGTGCACAAAGATGCTAAAGAGCAGACTTGACACTCCACACCTGGCTTGATTTATCAAATGGGAGAAAATAGCCTGTTTTGACACTCAAAATTTGGAGGCTGAGACAGAGCCAGGTCAAATCCCAGATGCATTTAGGCTGTGTCTAACTCAAGAGGTTTTGATCAGATCTCTGTCAAAAATCCAAAGTAGCAAAGTAGTATCCTGATTTACCTCTTTTTCCCTCCTTCCATTCAATCATATCCAATTCTCAGGGATTACTTGGACAAGTCCCTGCAGTTTTCTTGGCAAAGTTTTTCAGAAACGGTTTGCCACTGCCTCCTTCTTGGAGCTGAGAGAATGACTAGCCTAGTCACTCAACTAATTTTGTGCCCAAGGTGGGACTAGAATTCACGGTCTCCAGGTTTCTAGCCTGATGCCTTAACCTCTACACCAATATGGCTCTCAAACAAGCAGATTCAAAAGCTTTACTGGATCAAAGCAGCAGTCACCTTTCTCCTTTTTCCGCCCGGCTGACAGTAACAGAACAAAATGGAGCAAAACAAAATGGCTCTATCCCGTGTGGCTCCATTCCAGTCAGACTCTTGTGATAGCTACAGCTAGTTAGGGGCATGGCTTCCACAAGCAGACCAGTTATTCCAGGGTCTTTTTTTTTTCTTCCTCTGAATATTTTTCTTTTTCTTTCTCTCTTCCTTCTCCTTCTCCCCTTCCTCTTTTCTTTCTCCCCTCCTTCTTCATAGCATTATTCCTGTGCTATGGCAGGGTCTGGTTGTCAGCAAAGCTGTCTCCATTTGGGTCGATCAAAATCAAACAACACAGCCATTTTTTTCCAACTATTGCTAGATTTCTTGTTGCTGCTATTACATTCTGATCAAATGTGTATGGTCACTTCCTCTTGTCATTTTGATTTCCACTTTTTCAATATGTGATTATCACTGATCAGTGAAGGTCTTTCCAACTTTGCTTTGAAAAGAGTTATGCTGTCTTTTGTGAGTATATTTTCCCCCAACTTGGTTTTCATATCCTTTTTCATGTTCTTAATAAGCTTTCTTCATTGCTAGAGCTGGTCCAATACATTTTGCTTCCTGAAATGATTCTTTGCCTCAGAGTTGTATAATAGGCTGATGATGGTATTTGAACCTGAGACTAAACATTCACACAACTTCCTACTCTCCTCAGTAAAAAATAACCATAAATAACATTGTATTTTTTCTTTGAACACATTCAAAATAGACAGCTTGAGATTGCTTTCTACTGTAAAATTTACATCTGTTTTTTATAACCAATTCATAAAATTATTTTATGCTACCTGTATGACCACTTCTGCCCAGGTTCACATGATATGTTAAGTCAAAACCAAGAGATTACATCAAGTCCCTGAGTAGAACATTCTCTTGTAAAAATTTTGCTGACTCTTGCAGAACTTGTGATGTAAATGTATCAGTGTATTAATATTTATTCTGTGAAGTAACTGAGTAATTGCAAAAGAAAATATTATCATTTGTCTGTACTCACTGTCCCTCAGCTAACAAAGTTCACACATTGGGTTCTGTTTGAAATGATCCCCCCTCTAAGCCCTCTGATAAAGTTGGCCTATGAACTGAGAATGGAAAACTCATTTTGCTTCAAGGTACATAGTTCAACTTTTAATCTATTGTTTATCACGCTACCTGTTGTTGCAAAAACAGTTTTTAATATTTTAATGTTTGTACATCTTCTCCTTTAACCAAGCAATCATTTTTAATTATTTCCATGTTATATCCATACACGCATTGTTGCATCCCACTCCCAACAAATATGAGTAATATCAACAATATTTGATAGTTGTTCCATAGGTTGAAATTATTCCATGTTGGAGGATTTTTAGGTGCAGTTCGCCATCTAGTGGAAAATAGTTCCAAGCAATTATTGTTCGGAGTAAAAGGAAAACTTGAGAGAAGTTGGATTATTGGTATACAGGGACACTTCAACTTATGACCATTCGTTTAACACCTGTTTGAAATTTTAAAAAGGTGCTGAAAAAGTGTCTTCGATCAGTCCTCACACTTACAACCATCGCACATCCCAGGGTTACGTGACTACCGTTTGTAACCTTCCCAAGGGATGTCTGACAAGCAAAGTCAATGGGGAAGCCAGGTTCACTTAACAATCATGTGGTTCACCTGATCACAGCAAAAAGGTCATAAAATTGGGTCCAATTCACTTAATGAGTACATTGCTTAGCAACAGACATTCCAGTCCCAATTATGGTCATAAGTTGAGACTACCTGTAGGCCCATTAGTTTTGTAAATGGTTTGCCACTACATTTTTTTTGGTGGTGGGGATGGTTTTGAGTTCCCAGACAAGCCTACAGCCCTAGAATTCCTCATTAGTCCCCTATCAAAATGCCACCCGGCCCTGCTTGGTTTCAGAATTCCAATAAGGTCAATCAACTGTTACCACCTTCTGAGTTCGCACCTCCCAAGTTAGCACACAAATCTAATTTTAAAATTTGAGCAAGTTTTGAATTATTAATTCTATTTGTTTCTTAAAATCACCTCTATATAAACTGGAAAAAAAAAACATTTCCAAGACTGAATAAATTTCTATCCAGGTTTAGATAGGAAGGACAGCAAAGAACACCTGATTTTAAAAGACCAGAAGTTCTTTTTAAACTCTCATATGTGGTCATTCACAGCCTGCTGAGGAAAAAAAACAGAGGAAGCCAGCCAGTTGGATGTCCTTGGACAGATCATTCTCCTTCAGCCCTTGAAAGCAGGCAATGGCAAACCACTTTTGAAATCTTGGCAAAAAAAAAATTTAACATGGGGAATTCTGGGAGTTGAAGTCCACACATCTTAAAGTTGCCAACTTTGCCAAAAGTGTTGCTATAATCCATGGTATGAATTGTACCGTTTTGTTCATGTGGGCACAGACAATTTAAATTTATGTGAGAGAAGATGCTGCTACCTCCCCCAATAGGTTGCATTGGATCAAAGAGCACTGAGAGCCTCTTGGAAGCCCATAAGCAGCTTTCTGCTCATCTTCCTAATATACAATTATTAATCTAATAACCACATATTATTTCTATTATTTCTCTTTTCAGCCAAACTTAACTAAGAGAAGCAGTTCATCCTGGAACATGGCAAACAGAACAAACAAAAAGCAAAACTAGACAAAATTTTGATACCATAGACTTATGTGGAAGTGTCATTTCCCCGAAGGAGATATGTTCATCTAAAAAAATATCCACATCTACATATATGCAAAAATTCAGTGCATGTTTACCAAAACACAACAGAACACAATGGGACTTTCTACCAAGTAAGATTGTACAAAACTATACAGAACTGTAAAAATGCACACATTCGCCTTTTTCCCTAGGCTTTTGAAAGAATCCTGATTTAGCTATATTTTGACTCCTGAACATTTTGGGATACAAGACTTTACAAAGCATTTATATTTTCACAGTAAATTTCACAAATTATGATTGTATACATAATAAGACAAATCACAGTGTTGTTATCTGTGCTTCAGTTTCATATTAAAAATCACCTGTAGTTAATAGTCTACTAATAAAGGGGGGAAATTTCCATATTCCCTAAGTATGTGTTGCTCTATGACACCAGACAGTATGAGTGAAGTTTCTAACAGATGTTATCCAATATTAAAAAGAGAAAGTGTACCTGACAGTGTAAATACAGTGGGATGATCTTGCGTTACAGCAGTATGTCAAAAATAATCATTCTGGAAGAAATTCAGGTTTTGTTGCCAATGACAAGTTGGATGAAGCATGTCATATATGATATCTGGAGAACTTCTCTCGCTTTCCAGCCTGAACCAATTATCTTGTATAAAACTGGGAAAAATACCCCTTTCGTGGGATGGTTTGACTTTTGCTAATGCTGTGAACGGGGGAAACATAGCTAACATTCAAGAGGCAGGTGTATGTTAACAAATTCTTTACAGAATGGCATCTATTCAAGGAAATGTGGCTGAATGTTTCTCCTTATCTTAAACCATATACAGTTCCTTTACTGATGATTTCAGTTTACTTCAATATTTCAGCAGAATTCCAGTTAAAATTTGGAAAAGAATGCCTCAAAGGAAAGGATGCACTATTCTGATATAGTGCCATCCCCAAGGTATTCTTGGGAGAAAAGTCATCCAGGCTATTGATCGTCTCCATTTTACCCTTAGACGTTTGGCATTCAAAAAATCCAAATGGCATTCATTTATAATTAGTTGAATACAGGTTCAGTAGATAATTAAGGCAGTCAGCCATACTGCTAGTGAGTATGGAGTAAAAATCAAGGAGCAAAAATTCAGGGACATCCCCATCTTCCTGTGGGATAAGATAATAGAGTAGGGAAGAAAGTTCCTAAGCAAGTTGTATTAATTCTTAACTCCTCCTTCAAGATCTTGGTCTCTCACTGTAATTAAACTTTATTTAATAAAAAGAGCCATGGTGGCGCAGTGGTTAGAATACAGGCTAATTCCGCCGACTGTTCTCACTGGCTCAGCCTTCCATCCTTCCGAGGTGGGTAAAATGAGGACCCAGATTGTTGGGGGCAATATTCTGACACTGTAAACTGCTTAGAGAGGGCTGTACAGCACTGTGAAACAATATATAAGTCAAAGTGCTATTGCTAAATTCCCTTTCATTTACTTTCAAAACATTTTTGCCTCTGAAAGAACTCATGAAGCAAAGGGTAAGTGCCATAACTGATTCTCCTTTACAAATAGGGAAACTAAGAAAAATTGCTCAATATTATAAGTGCTGAGATGGTCTTCCATAGTATTAGGCATGCTAGACAAAGTAAAAGAAAAAAGAATAACTCCACATCAACCCCATCAGCCTAAATAGCACTCTCATCTGACCCCAACTTCTCAAGATTTCAGGGTCTTCATCTCTATTTTGCCTTAGATTTACCAATGTAAATGATGTTCTTTTTCTTTTAAAAAAAAAAACCACACAGCAAAACAGTATGGTAGTAACAGGAAGACAATTAATATGACAATAACGTTTTCCTGTTCAATTGCATTTCAGTAGTGAGAAGCTAGTATTTAGAATTTGCTGATTTAGAAGCCATGAAGACTATCCTTTTATCTCCAAATAGAGAAATTGTTAGTAGAAAAAAAAGGACATGGTTTTTCCATCTGGAATTGTGAAAAGAAGGGTCTCTGTGTTCATTAGTATGCAGCAGAGAAAAAGTCATTGACATTAACAAGACCCTAATTTACATATGGTTGCATTAACTGATGCTGCCAGATTGTTTTGTCCCTTGTGTAACATCCAGGGATGCTGGAATTCCACTTCCTCTTGGCAAAACACAGATTATCAAGCACCATAAGCCCTCAGTCACAATATCATAGTGTCCTTTCTCAATTTCTTTGGTTTTTCTCCCCAACCCCAACCCCCCCATCACCACCACTACACAGCCCAAATCACTGCCCAAATCTGCTAGGATCTCAGACTTCTGCTTGCAGAGGAGGGACACTGGCCAGTGCTGGGATGAGGTGAGCATAGATCTCAATCCCATGAAGGAAGACCCGCTCATTCAGGAATTCGTTGTGGTCATGCAGCAGCACAGGCGTGTAGTTCATGGGGGAAAAGCCAATTGCAGGGTGACCTGCCTGAAATATATTGGAAGGAGAAGCAGGGGTCAGAAACCAAGGCCAGAGCAAGTAAGTAGAAGATAAGCACTTCCGCTGGTCAGGGGCCTCTAGGAAAGACATCTATACTCACTGCTCTGATGTAGCGGCTGTCAGTGGCAGCAGGGAAGATCTCACACTTCAGCTTCATATTCCTGAAGAAACAGAGACACAATGGCAGAGAAGCTCCCCGTGGGATGGTCGTTATTTAACTTGGTCTTTTTGCAGTTTCAGAAGTTTCAAACTATTCCAAAGGTAGAATTTATCAACTGGGGGAAAAAATGGAACTGTAGGCTTCTGAGATGATCCAGAATTGGAGTAGTTGAGAAGATGGGAGTTTCCATGCTTTTCCCAACTTGCAACCATTCTGTTGGTTTAGCCCTTACAATCCCTGAATACAGACAGGTCTGGGAAAGCTGGTCTATGCTAGAGGGTATTTCAGTATATACTTTTTTTCTTAACAGATAATCAGAGTTGGAAGGGACCTTGTAGGTCATCTAGTCCAACCCCCCCTACACAATGGGAGACCCTACACAATTTCTGACAAATGGCAGTCTAATTTCTTTTTGAAAGTCTCAAGTGATGGCTCTCCCACAACTTCCGAGGGCAAGTTGTTCCAGTGGTTGATTGTTCTCACTGAACAAAGTTTCTCCTTATTTCTAGGTTAAATCTCTCCTTATTTAGTTTCCATCCATTGTTCCTTGTCTGGCCTACAGGCGCTTTAGAAAATAGCTTGACCCCCTTCCTCTCTGTGGCAGCCCCTCAAATATTGGAAGACCGCTATCATGTTTCCCCTGGTCCTTCTCTTCACTAGACTAGCCATGCCCAGTTCCTGTAACCGTTCTTCATATGTTTTAGTCTCCAGTCCCCTAATCATCCTGGTTGCTCTTCTCTGTACTTTTTTTAGAGTCTCAACATCTTTTTTATAATGTGGTTTTTTTTATAATGTGGTATAATGTGGTTCTTAATGCAGTCCATAGCAACTTCTTCACCAAATATAAATATAGTTTCCTCCTATCTAGCAGGTGAAGTTGCTCCTATCCCAGAATGACTAAGGAAAAAAGGAAGAAAAATGAGAAAAGGCAAATGTAATAATGTACTCACATGTCTTTGCAGGTGTCACTGAATGCCTTCCACCAGGGATCCGATTCCTCTGTGGAGGTAACCGTCTGATCCATGCATTTCTAACCCAAGGGAAAAGGTAGAAGGTGAAACTCGTAGGAGGCAACAGATTCTCAAAATCCAGGAATGTTTGGCAAATGCCTGGCAGAAGTAGCAGTAGGACTAAAAGAGGCTGTGGAGCACAGGGCACCATAGAAAGACAGCCCTGTTGAGATAAAGGCCCAAGGAGGAAAGGGAGAGAAAGACAGTGGCAGTACTCTAAAAGGCTATAAGCCAAAACCAATTTAGAGTTTTGCTTCTAGAACTAAAGGAAAAGTAGTTGGAGTGAACCCTCATTTCCCAGTTACCTGCTGGAACTCATATGTAACACCTTCTCCAGCTGCTTTGCACCAAGATTTGAGTTGCTCCTCAAATGCCTGCAAAGCAAAGACAAATCAATATGTGATATGAGAAAGCCCTTTGTTCTGAGCAATTCTTGGCCAGATACCCTACTTTTCATTATCTTAATCTATTCTACAATTCTCTGCACTCCTTCCTGCCTGTTTAAGAATATTTCTTCCCTCACAGGTAAGGAAACATCAAATATGTAGCTTCAAAGCTACATATTGATCAAAGGTCTGTATGATAGATACCTGACATTTCTCTCCAGGGCAGCTTGTGGGGGAATGTGTTGCAAAACACTGTTAATCTTTCATTAAACAGACATAGAGCATGAAAGCCCTCAAGGCTACCAGAATTCAGGACTCTTGAAAGTAATATACAAGTAAAGGAATTAGGCTCTCCAATTCTTTCAAACATCAAGAAAAGTTATTAAGGACTTCCATATTAACTGCTACAAACACTGCAAGATTGTTAAACAAATGAACAATATTTTATAGGACAGTTTAACAAGTTTTGTAAAAAAAAAAAAAAAAAAACAGCCAGAAACAGTTTAAGATTTATAAGATCGCTCATCTCAAACGATAGGTGGTGTACAGCATAAAATAAATCAAAAAAGGGGAAAAACCATACATAACAATAAACAAACTAAATGTAAAATGGTGAAAGGCACACAACAAAATCACCACAGAGGAACTCCCATATAACTCGCCCAAAAAGCCTGAGGGAAAAGCCAGGTCTTAATGGTTTTCTTAAAGGTGAGAAGGGTTGGGGGCTGTCATATATGGGGGAGGGGAGATACTTCTAGGGCGAAACACAAAAAATGGCACCCTTTCTGATGATGACAAGATTTAAAAGAAGGAACCTGGAGCATGCCCTCCATGTGAGAGAATGTGACACAGGGAGATGTTCTTAGGAAATGTAATCCAGCCCTATGCCATGTAGGGCTTTAAAGGTAAGAACCAGCAGCTTGAATTGCACCCAAAAGCCTATTGGGAACAAGTGTAGTTCATTGAATAGTGGTATTACATGAGCATAACAAAATATGTCCATAACTACTTGCAAATAACTACTGTACATTCATTTTATATTATATAATAAATAACGTCTGAAATGGTATAGGGTTTCCTGCCTAAGCATGGGGTTGGACTAGAAGACCTCCAAGGTCCCTTCCAACTCATTCCATTCCATTCCTGCTGCTTTTTCTAGCATAAGTGGGAAGAGCAAATACATTCTCTGGCCAATTATGATGAGATATTCAAGGCAAATCTTTACGGAATGAAAACTGGTAACCTTCTCCTTCTCTGTACCTTTAAATCCTGTGTTGGAGGGAGCCGGATGTCAAAGGCAACAGAGAGCTCAGAGGGGACCACATTGAATGATACTCCTCCATTCAACATGGTCAGGTTCACAGATGTTACATCTCCTAAAGTGAGATGTCCCTCATTTTTCAATCTGTAAGAAAGAACAACAAAAAATTATACATTTTGTTTGTCATTTTTAAATAAATTCATTGCTAAATCCCTGAGAATGAAGAAACTGCATGTGGCAAGGGCATGTGATCGCCTGCCCAAATATTTATAGGAATCACTGCCCAACAAAAACTGCAGAAGATACCTGATTCTGTAATTTACACATTATCTTAAAAACATACATACAAAACATCACTTCTATATATTACTGGCAGAACACATGCCATCACAGTAAAGCATCCCTGCATTTATCAGAATTGTTATATGCATTAATTTAATTTGACGTGTTGGTCAAAGTTCTCAGATTTTAACCAACTATATACTAGTGTTGTGAGTTATGGCAGAGCTGGGCTTTGTAATTCATTACTCACCCTTTTCATCATTAAAATGAAAAACTGCCAGATCCATTTTAGAGAATCAAAGGGCAATGAAGGATATATGTCACCTATACCTTTCAGTCAGTTGTAGAAAGAAAAAGCGGAATTGTTTTCCACATCACAGCTGAAGGTTCAAATGGACATTTGTGATAGCAATGTATTTGTAATAAAAGACTGGAAGAGCAATACTGGATCACTTTGTATATTTCATGTACTAGGATATAGTCTATGAAGCCAATTGTTTTTGAGGTGAACAAAACCCTCTTCTTTTATTGTACTTTAATTTAAAAAAATCATAGTAATGGGGAAATACCATTATTCAATCATAAAGGTCAGGCATTGCCTTTCTTTAGCTTGATAGACTTCACCTATTTGTGTTTCTTACCTTTGTTTTTCATGTTCTCTGAATTCTAGGAAAGAAGTGATCACTCTGTGCTATGAACAGGAAAATCAAAAGTAAATGCAATGATAAGCATTCTCCCCACTTCTACAGGACTGCCTTTAGTGTCAGCTTCTGGGCAAGATGGGATTTTACCTCTTTTAGCGAATTATGATAAAATGGGAAAAATATTTGTAAACAAAAAATAGGCATCCTTTGTCTCTCTAGAAACTGATGGGCTATAACTTTAATAACATCTGACCATAGAGGTTTCCTCGCTGAATTTCATAATCAAGTGTTATGGCCTAACAAAATTAGAGCACTGCAGTTTGATAATCCTACTCTAAACTGCACATTACATCCAGCAAAACAGACAGTTCATATAAAGTGTCTGCTTTGATTTTCTACTTTCACATGTAGATATAACAAGAAGTTCTACCTCCCACCCTTCCTTGGCCCTGTATATTATAGAGAATGGTCTCTTACCATCTTTTCAGCAGCTGTATTCTCAATGAATCTGGATCCATGTCCCGGATTTCCTTCTACTTTCACTTTAATCCCTGAGGTCATTTAAAGAAAGACCAAAAATGTAAACATAAACATAAAATAAAGCAAAGCAAGCCAAACAGTTGTATTGTTTAACTACCACAGCAAGTAGAACTGGTGCAAGTTAAAAAGTACATCAGTCTCCTGGTAGTTTTAAGATTGGATATTATTAATAGAAAAAAATTAAATAGTTTGCAAACTAACAGTTATCCCCAGTATTTCTTCCTGTTAAATACAAGTGTGAACCAGAATAACTCTGGGTCAGTTATTCTGTGCCTCTGTAATGCTGACAAGCTCAAAAAATTGTGCTAGAATCTTTTATCTACAATAATAAAGATGGCAATGTGCATTTATACTGCCTATGGTTCCTAGTGCATTTATACAGTGTACGACTCCCAAGATACAGCAGGTATTTGACATAATTGCCATTAATATATATATAAATTTTATCTATCTATAAATTATAACTATAATTTCAAACTGTATCCCAAAGATTAACACATTTTTAATAAACCCTTGTTTCAAACAAATCAGCAACTTTAATAAAAGAAGAGCTTGGCTTCTTTACATTGGAAATGGCAACAAATTGATCCATAAAACTCTATCTCCTAATCATAATGCATGTACCTTTTGAAGAGAAACAAAAATGGGTTGTTTTTTTGTTAAACTTTTTTCTCTGTATATGTTTGAAGATTATCTCGTTAATTTTGTATGTTCTTTTTGATGGTTTTAAAAATGTATTTACATTTTACATGTTTTCTTGTAATTTATAAATAAAATTTGGAGAAAAGATAATGCAGATAACATCTTTTATAATAAAATAGAATATAATAAACACAATAAAAACAATAACATATATACACCCCACACACACCCACAGCTAATAACTAGAGTTAGTTGCCAACATTAACTGCAGTAATTCTTGAGTTTTCAGAGAATCAGATTTCAACATTTGAATTAAATTAAATTGCAGGCATATACTCTAAAACATTAGAAAGTTTCATGATGCCTTTATTGAAATTCCAAACTATAAAACAACAGGCACCAGAGGAGGTCTAAAATTCTACATCAATCCAGTGAGATGTAAGTGTGACTTTAAGTGTGACTTTCTACAGAGTGAAAACCGATGTAGCAAAGAAATACAGCTGCAACTAAGAAAAAAATATACAGTAGACATAAAACTGACAAAACTCCAGAAACTGTTCAAAAGAATTCATGCATTATGTGTAGCGGAGATACGGCAGATAGTTTTTAGTATAGATCTTAGGATGATGCAGATTAAAATGAAAACAGATGAGAGGAAGTAGAACATTTCAGATCTTACTTACACCATGGGCATTTCTCGCCATAGAATACAGTGAAAGTGTCGGTTGGGTTTGCCAGACCTAGGAGAAAACCAAACAACAATCGTAAATAACAAATGCCATTCAAATATAGAGGCTTTCTTCAAAGCCTTTTGGCAAGCAACTATAGCATCAACTAACTGGCTTTGTATTCATGTAGGGGAAGACATCATCATCATCATCATCATTAAAAGAATCTGCACAAAGTCTGCATAGGCCTTGCTTCTGAGACAACAAACCTATATTCATACCACTTTGAGAAGGAAACTAAGTAATCACAAAGAATAATTTTATTAAGAAAAAAAGGAAAATGATTTCAGTGACAGCATATTTTTCAATTGCAAAACTACTTCCCAAATGCCATACTATGGATTTTCACCTTCATCCAGGGCAAAGCCAACATTAAGTGCTGCAAATTCAGGAGTCTTCACAAACAATTCCATCCCTTTGTGGCCCCCAACCTCTTCATCTGCAGGAAAAAGAAAGCCCAGACAGTTACTTACTTTTGCTTTGATCTCCAAACCAGCATTTCAGAGTGGAAATATTTGAAGAACTAATTACAGGATCCAAGAGAGCTTTTGTGCTTTGCAATCTGGCATGCAGGGGGCCTCCTCTCTTTGTACTAGCATAGCCCACAAAGAACAAAAAATTGTTTTTTCTCCAAAACCCATTCATCAGCTTTGTTGTGTGTCTGCTCCAAAATTTGTAATGCACTAATTGTTTCCTGCTATTAATCAGGAAAGCAATCACTCTGTTTAATGGGACATAACATTACATTTGAGACCACAAGTTCTGTCTCACTGGGATGCAACAAAAGAACAGAGTAGAACGATCTTAGAACAACTGCAGAAAGATCCCAAATTATTTATTTGCTCAAAAGCTTCTGCGTCATTCTTCAATTAATTTTCCCCCCAAAGCTGCTGTAAGCCCTGGAGTAGAATATTACACACCCTAGTAGTACGCTGCTTGATCACAGGCGCAGATAGGATGAAGGGAATTAATTGTCAAAGAAACCATGTCAAGGTAAAGAGTTAGTCTCTCTTTCCCTATATTAGGGTCCTAATGAAAATTTGGAGGCTCTGTGATTTTTTAAAATTATCATTTTAAAAAATGGCATTGTGATGGTGCTGTATCTAACTACTTCTGAATTTAACTATCTTCTTCATATGTCATCTAACATAATCCAATGACAGTCGGAAGCTCCTTTCCAATATACAGCATCAATCCTGAGCTACAAATATTCTCTTGTATTTATATGTTTTACATAATCTCCCCATATTGTTTAACCAACATTGATAAAGATGTGGTTTTAATATTTTGCTGCAGAAATGAAATCTATGCTTTTCTTCCAAAACAATATAGTGAAAATATTTTGTTGCAAATCCATACTGAAAATGTTTACTTTATTGACTTCTGTGGGTTTTACTAGGCGACTTAGCTTGCATCTCATTTACCTGGGGAAATAACATCACCAACCCTAAGTAAAAACTCTTCCTCACATCCACAGTAATGGCTTCTGTCCTCAAGTCAAAAAAATGACAGCATAAAAATGTTTCAGAGCTGTGGTTGGAGGAGTACTTCTTCTCCTTTTCCCTTTCATGAAGAATTATCTATTAGGGAAAATGAACTGCCAATTGCTGTCCTTGTACCTCTGCTCCAGCTGGCTCTGATGCTTGTTTGGAACAGTTGCTTTGAGAATCTCTGAAAGCCCTTTTTATTGAATCACACTTTTAACACAGCACTGCATGCTTAGAATTACAAGCTTCAACCCTTTAAAATTATTATCTGCAGTGGTTTTTAAAATCCTAGACACATATGCATCAATTGCTGGGCATTCTTATAGACAAAACTTTTAAAAACCAGTGTGCGACTCTTGATTTGGAAGAAGAGAAGCTTCTAGGTGAAGGAAAGCCCTGGGCACAAGTGGGCTGCCACCTGCGAAGATTTTAGTTTTGTATCTCAACAGAAATACTTGTCTTGTGGAAAATCCAAAGCATGCTCCCATGTTTGAACAATAAGAAAACAGAAAAAGTGTGTCAGTATGGCAACCAGAGCAAGAATGGCAGTACACATGAAACACCAGCTGGTTGGGACAGGGCAATTCTAGAGCAGGCCAACAGAAGCTAGTAGACGGTTGATCTCTGACGTTTTCTCCTCCATATATCATAGAATAGCCACATGGGAAATTTTCTGCCAGCATACCATTATTTTCATACCAGAACACCTTAGCCTGACTTTGGTCTGCTGCTGAATGGACACACAAGAGATGCTCTGTTGTGAGAATATATCCTCAGCAGACCATTAGTGAGGCCCAGAGGTGGTATTCAGTAAGTTCTGACCAGTTCTGGTAGCGGAAATTTTGAGTAGTTCAGAGAACCGGCAAAAACCACCTCTGACTGGAGATTTTACAGTATCCTTCCCCTGCCATGCCCACCAAGCCACGCCCACAGAACCGGGAGTAAAAAAATTTGAATCCTACCACTGGTGAAGCCTCTTTACACATGAAAGCAGAGTGTGTTGAGTTGCTGTATTTTTTGCTTATTTGAGCAAAAATTAGGAGACACGTGATTATGCTATGGGCTATTATTTAACTCACCTGGGACAAAGCTCATATGAATGGTTCGTGGAAAATGTCTTCCTTCAGCTTTCAGCCTCCGTATGGCTTCTAGGTATCTGAAAGAAAAAGGCCTTATTTAGTGTCTCATTAAAAAGATAACATAGCCTTTTTAAGGGAAAGGAGTATGTGTTGATGATGGATGCTGTATATTGGAAAGGAGCAAACACTCAGCTGGAGTCTGGATCAAAAATCCCTGAATTCTAAAACATGCCTTGCAGGGCAAAGCAGAGCCTGGTACTTGCATACAAGGCACCTATTTTCTGCTTGCAAGAACTACCATTTGGTACCATCTTCTGAATGCAGCAGCAATCTGCCTTTTCCAGCTTGCTGTTTTTCAGCCAATGAGATACAAGTTTTATCTTTTTTTTTATTTAATTGCATTAATAAACAGAAATGAAGGAAAAAAGATATAACAATAAAAAAACAGAAAAAGAAGAAATAAGGACCAAAAACGTCCCTTATTTCTTCTTTTTCTGTTTTTTTACTGTTATATCTTTTTTGTATTTATATAAGGCAGCTCATCTTTAAAATGCAGCATTAAACCTGAGCAAATGGGGGTAATATTCATCAGCTTTATGTTGATGGGCAATCTGTTTATAGGTGGAAGGAAAGAGAAGAGGAGAACAATCAACAGCAAGGTGGATGGACTCAGTTACAGAGATTATGAATGACCTGAAGGACTAGGTTAGGGACAGGTTATCATGGAGAAAGTCTATGTCACACCTGGGCATTTTATGGCCTCCAGGCCACATCCAGCCCTTTGGTTATTTCTGTCTAGCTCATGTCAATCGGAAATTAAACTGGTTTAACGGCCAGCACTACCAAAGGGGGAAGTTAACTGCTTCAGCATGTCTGGCAGGTCGGTTCTGCTCATGCTTGGAAGGTGGGTAGACCAGTTCCTCCTCGGGCTGCCAGAGGTCCAGTAGACCGGTCTCACTTACATTATGCACGCATTACAAGTGCATTGCTTTTATTTTGAAAGCGACTATATATTTTTTTCAATTGACATATGAGCATGCATCCCTGCCTATTATATATCTTCATGGCCCTTTTGGTTCAGCCCTCCACGACAGTCCAATACAGTCCCTTGGGAAAATTAATTGCCCACCCCTGATCTATGTTGTCACTATGAAACAATATGGCATAATAGCACATAATCAAAACAGACAGGATTAACGAATCAAGTTAAGCATTGGTTTCTATCACTTTCACAACCATAACTAAAATGCTCTTTGCACGAATTACTCCCTTGGTCACATCCCTTCACTTCCATCATTTCGCAAGACAAAATGCCAAAGTAGCTTTCCTTATTAAACAAATGTCTTTTGTACTGTCTAGAACACGGACGTCAAACTCATGGCATCACATTGCTGTCACGTGACGCTTCACAACGTTTTTCCCACTCGCAGAGCTGGGGTGGGCATGGCCTGCGTGTGACGCATCTGTCCCGCGGACCGCCAGTTTGACACCCCTGGTCTAGAACATAAATAGAAGGACAAGATAGGTTACACGTACTGGATAGATACACATTTCATATCTTGAGCTCCCCGTCCATAGATATTTCCCTCAGAGTCTTTGAAAGCCAAAAAAGGATCATGCTGCCAATATTTCTGCAGGAAAGAAAATGAAACAATGAGAAAAATGTGAATGGATGAGAAATGAGGCTTTGCTCTTACGGCAGCCTGTTAAGACATTAAAGGAAAAGCCTGACTATTTTCAGTGATACCCTACAGTACTGGGAACAAATCAAAATAAACTTACACATTTCCTGACTTGAGAAACTAGGCAACCTTTGAAAAACTTGCTTCTGAGTTCAGCAAGGATGACTTTTGGGAAGATGCTTTTTGGATTCTCTGTTTGTGTGAGGAAGTAGTTTTTCTGGAAAATGTCGCAAAGTATGGGAGCTGCAAGGTAACCAGGAGCAAAATAATCATGAAGGCATCATGTTAATTGCCTCCTTTTATCATTACCGAAAGTTGGTGAGTCTGTAAATCTTTTATGGTAATTTAATTAAAGCTGGGAGATTCATTTAGAACTCTCTGTTATCCAGTTCCAAATTTTGTTGAAGCTTCCTGGATTTACATTAACATTTCACAGAGCTTCCTCTTTCAGAACCACTTTTTAAAACCAGAGTTTTTAAGCTAACAAATCCACTGCCCTGGATGGCAGTTTTCTACTATTTATACCACAATAAAATCTCAGCAGCTATTTTTGTAGCAATTTTCCACTACAGTAGTACAACTGTAATACAAGCTCAAAAAAATTGTCTGGAACAAATACACAGTCTTTTATACTGCATATGGATCACAATTTTAGAGTCAGACTTATAGTTGGAAAGAAAGCAATGACATTTTTTTTGAATTATTGGTTTTTTTTTATTTATTCCTCCAGTAAATAATGCACCAGCCTAAAGTGTTGGGCTTAATTATTTCAGGAGAGTGTGCTAAAGGTAAGTTCACACTTAAGTGTTATTTCTTTCTTATCTCATTCCCCCAAGCTTTCTGCCTTATACTTGTATTTTCCTTTGAGTAGTCAGGATCTAAAGCACAAACTTTTTATATCCTATGTTTGTACTATATTCCAAACCATGTTTCAGTGAGGAATTCTGGAAACCTTAGAACAGGGCTATCAAACTCCTGGCCCATGGGCTGGATGCATCATGCGCTAGCCATGCCCACGCCCAGTTTAGCGAAGGGGGAAAAAGTTCTGACACCCCTGTTCTAGAATTACTTAATTAGTCATCAGTGCTTTTCTTTTTGCTCAAGTCTTAATATTTTGGAATATTTCAGGGTAGATGAGAGAAGCATCAGTCCTCCTTCTGAGGACAAACTCAGGATGCCAAAGAATTGGGATTGACTAAAGTACAGCCCTTTGTTCTCTTTTTTCCATTGAAACTAAGCAAATATACCCACTTTTTACTTTCTTTTATTATATTCCTTGCAGTTTAATTTGAAATGTCTCTGTACAAACACACTTAACCCACCAATGGAGGGAATTAATGTCTGCAAGATCCAATCTGAGTCGGTCCCTGAGACCAAAGGTTTTTTCTTCTAGCTTTCAGACTTATGCTGGAGCCCATCCTCAGGGAACAGTACGAGTCCAAAGCTTGGAAGAACAAACTTCTGGTCCTAGGGACCGACTCAGATTGGATCCTGCATCGTTATCCTGGGACATGTATATTTGCCTCCATTCACAGAATGAATGTCTGTTTAGTCCATTAAATGCAAATTTATGTAATGATTATGTAACTTATATTACTTGGATAATTATACAAATTGATATATTGCCATAATGTTTGTCAGTTGTGTAGACTGCTTTGTAAACAATGTGAACTTAAAAAATCCACCGAGTGGCGACTATATTACACCTACCCATTCTTTCCATTTGGGGATATACTTCTAGTTGCTGAAAAATATAGATTTCCTCTTGGCTTACAAAGTCCTCCTTTTGTACACATCGTGGTTTTGTTTGCTATTTGACAGCCAATAATCATTAATTATTATTATTCATATAATTATTGTTGTAAGCCATCTTGAATGCTTATATAAGCAGTATCAATTTACTGCTTTGATACTAAGTAAATAAATAAGCAAGTTGTTTGATTTCTCTTTACTCCATTGTTATTATAAGAAGTTACCTGCTGGTGCAACATTATAGATAGATATACCAAACACCATTTTTTTTTTTACAAATATCCACAGTAAAATAAAATTTCTTTATTAAACAACCACTAGTTAATAATATTTTTATTTCCCCCATAGTGTTTCTATTCCTACAAATATAAGAATTGAAAATGTTACAAAGTGCAGATCCAACCTTGATTGAAAAATCATGAGATTCAACCTGTAACTCATCTTTTCATTTCCAGAGGAAAGGAATTTTCATATACTACTAATGGCCCACATATGAATTTCCATCACATCTTCATAAAAGCAGTGTAACCTGTATTTTGTGTATAGGTAGCAATAGCACTTAAGACTTATATATCACTTCATAAGTGGTTTACAGAAACAGCATATTGTCCCCCACCAATCTGGGTCCTCATTTAACCGACCTCGGAAAGGTGGAAGGCTGAGTCAACCTTGAGCCAGGCAGAATTGAACTCCTGGCAATCAGCAGTTAGCCTGCAACACTGCATTCTAACCACTGGACCACCAACAGTTGAAGTCCTCAATTTACAACCACACTTGGAACCATAAATTCATTGTTAAACAGTGAAGTAGTTAAGTGAGAAATCAAGTGACCCAGTGGTGGTATTCGACTGGTTCTGCCTGGTTCTGGAGAGCCGGTAGCGGCCGATGAGCAGTGGAGAACGAACCGGTTCTCTTCGCTGCTCTGTGTTTGGCCCACCTGCCTGCCCGGGCTCCCATACTCACTTTTATGGCCAGAATTCAAAGCGCAGCTGCTTTGCGCAGCACAGAATAGCGCTGTGCAGCAGCTGCTACAGCGACCAGCATCGTGCAGGCTTGCAGGAGGCAAATAAGAACGCCTCTGCACCTGCGCAAAGTGCGTGTTTGGCGAGCGCGTGCACACAAAGTGCGGCCACCAAGCCATGCCCACCGAACCGGTGGCAACTTTATTTGAATACCTCTACTGAAGTGACCATGCCCAATTTTATGACTTTTTTTGCCATGGTCATTAAATGAATCACCACAGTCACTGAGACATCACATGATCTCAATTTGCCATCTTCCCTGCCAATTTCCCCAGCTTGTTTGTCAGAAGCTGGAAGGAAAGTGGTGGGAGGCAAATGGTGATCGCATGACTCTAGAACATTGCAACCATATCGTAAATGCAACCAGTTGCAAAAGTGCCTGGATTATGATTACATGATCAGAGAGGCATTGCGTTGATTTTTAAGTGCAAGGGCCAGTCATAAGTCACTTTTTTCAGTGTCACTGTAACTCTAATCAAATGTTCACAAGTCAAAGACTACCTGTAAACTAAAACAAGGAATAGCAAAGAGGAAGATGAGATTCACCACTTCTCCCCTGGAATAATGTTTCCTGGCTTTTGCAAGTTTTGTTTTGAAGAAGGAATCCAATCATCCCTCAACTCTCTTTTCCAGCAAGGCTAAAGTTGCCACTGAATCCCCATTGCGATCTCCTAACCTCAAACACGGGTACAACGTCTGTATGGGAATTCAGTAAGATGGAGCGGAGTTGTGGGTTTGTGCCTTTCCAAGTCAGAATGGTGATCACACGGTCAGGGCAGACCTGCAACAGAACATTAGATCAGATGGGATTCTTCTTTGTGTAAGTTTGGAAAATAAAACTTCGTGTAGTTTTCACACTGCATACACCCTCCTCTCTTTTCATGGGGAGAATAAAATTTTATAAAATAAAAATTGAATTTGAAAAGTTGGATTATTTATTCCAGGGAAATGGCAAAATACTTTTATTAAATTTAATAAGAAAAAGCAGGCAGCATGATAGCTAAGAATTTCACAGTTTCATTGCTGAAATCCTGATTTGTATGATAGTCACTTTTGCTAGATAACTTATGTCTAGCCCAGCATTTTGCTCAAGACCCTATTATTATGACTTAGCATGCTATGTGAATCCAGACACTGAAAACAATAGAAGTATAGACCCAGAAAGTGGAAGCAATAATCATTTATAATATTTATACATACAAAACTGCTTTTCAGATATAAGCAACTGCAAAGAAAAGTACAAAATGGTTTTCAAACAGACATGGCTTCTTTTTCTACTGTCTCTTCAGGCAGCTCCAAAGTACCATCGAGATCCATATACCACTTCTCAATTTTAATTTTCTGTTTAGAGAAAATCCAGATGTCATTAGAGGGAGCCCACAGCAACTCCAAACGACATGGAAAACTCAAAACAGGCTGGAAGTCAATTCAGTTTTATAAAACTGGTTCTGATTACCACAAATATTGAAAGAAAGGCAAGCTCCAATTCTTGAAATAATTTATTTACATAGGAGCATTTTAACACTTTCAGCTCAGTCAACCTGAGGAGAATCGGTTTTAATACAGGAACAGAAATAAGAGGACAGCCTAGCGAAATTATATTCCTTGCCTTTTCCTAGTAAAAAACCTTTTCCGTAGCATTCATTTGTAACACGTATCAGTCTAAATGTGGCACATAAAGCTGAAAAGGTCAGACTGGGTTATTGGATATAGAACCTGTAATAAACAGATTAACTGGATAGCAGGCTCTTCAAAGGATCACAGCTCCAACAGGTTTACTACGAACTATAAACAATCTAAAACATACCATAGTATGATTCAATCAAAAACTTAATAGTAAGCCTGAATCAATTATCTTCATGCCATGAACCCTAATAATCGAAGTCAACATTCAATGAACCCTAATTAATCAAAATTAAAAATCAATTAATAAAAACCCTGGCAGTGGAACTCTTTTACTACATGTCTATTTTTCGTTTTGTCCAAGATGATTAAACTAACCTAAATGGATCCTTGTTTGTATTATCAGCTCATTTTCATCCTCATAACTAGACTCTGGTATGTGAGGCCATCAAATCAGTTGCATGATGTTTGCAGATTCAGATTTAAGTTTCTCCAACACTAGTACAGTTTTTTTTAACATTACATCAGATGATAACATAGAAAGCCTGCCAGTTTTAAATGATATTATTATAACTCTGAAGTCATTAATAAATGATTAAAAATGGATCTTTGTTGAATCAGGCCAAATATCTATTTCATCCAGCATATTACTCAATAAGATACAATTATTAAGACTAACACATTTGGACACCCATGTCTCTATAAACTTATTCACTGCCTAAGTAGGCAGCTAACACTATAGCTGGTAGATGACATGTTCCAAATGATTTTGAATAATGATCACTATCTCAATAATATGCTTCTTTGTACAGCATAACCATGCCATAACCCTAGACAATTATATGTGAATGGTGCAACTGTCTGGACTAATTCTAGCAGCATGAATTTATACTATGTGAACTGATCTATTGCCTGCATATCTGTCTGTATCTTTGCATTTCCATCACACATGCAATTGTAACATGGGTATGTGGCTTGCAACCATACAGGAAATAAGACTTTACACATCTCTGGGGAAAAGAAATAGATGAGAACAGCAAAAACATTGAAGGGGATAAGTTGCGAAAAATAAAATTCCATCAATTGTCCACTTTATCCTGTGGATAATTAGTATGTGCTATTAAAGAGTTTAATTTTGATAGATGTTGAGGTCACTATTTTTGAAACATGTTTCTAGGTAGCAAGCCTTTAGCCTATGCTACTGAACTTTGTTAAAATCTTTTATAGTTTTTTTCCCCTCCTAATTTGAAATGAATGCCATCTTATTTCTTATTATTAACTCAGATGACAGAGTAAAGCAACGTTAGTTAAATGACACATAGAAATATCTCTTTGGAAAATGCCCCGAACAAAAATTGCCCCAATGTACCATTATATCTATTTTAATAATGGAATGAAATTGAAACCCTGAGCTGTAGCAGTAATATACATGAGAGACAGTATTCCTTTACTTTGACTCAGCAGATTGCAGGGTCTAGCTGACATTTTTATAAGCTAAAAAGTAAATTAGATTAGATTTGCATAGTACTTTAATGAGAGACTTCTTGATAATGTCAGATAGGGAAATCCTTGTAGAAAGCAATAACAAATCACTTCTATGTTGCTATCAATAACAATATATGCTGGTGAAGTTTTATTTTTTAAATCCCTTATCTCAAAGCTTAAGCCTGCATGACAAAGATAAATGATGCCGATTTTCTTCCTAAATTATGAGCACAAAGAGGCCATATAGCAACAAATCAGAAATTGACAGAATCCGCATAAGTGCAAGGGGTTTCTCATTACCTCCACTTTCAGACACTGTAGATCGAGTTCAGAAGCTATTCTTTCCAGGAATTTTACTGCTGTTTCTGGAAGAAAATATGAAGCCACCATGAAAATTACAAACGTCTTTTTATTTCAATCAATATTTAATTTTTAAAAATGGCAGTACAAGTTCTATAAAACTTTTCCCCACATGCAATATTTGAATTAAAACTTTGCCCCAAGGATAAAGCAATGGACAAAGTTTGAAATCTTGAGGCTTCTTATCTATCCAACATGTGTTTAAGCTCACTTGTCATCTATTATATGTTTATTTTAATTATTCTACTAATATTTTTAAAGATGACAACCATTATCGTGGAAAGACATACAGCAAATTGCCCAAAGCCGTAAAATTAACAATGAGCCCTAAACAGACAAGTAGTGATTCCAGCAGTCAACTGAGTCATCATTGTTTCTACTTTCCATTTCAAGGTGGTGCATTTCAGTCCTCCCTCACGTATATCATCCAGTCCACAAACAATTAAAATAAAAAACTATTATTTTAGCTTTTCAGCTATTACCAGTAGAAGGAGAAATACTGACAAACTGAGTATTCTGGAATTAATATGGAGGCCTTAAGATTTCAGAATATTATTCCAGATTTGTTTACAATGAAAGTTTTACAAATTTCTTCAGTAAAAACATTTGTTCCTCCACAATGAAAATGATGAAGATCTAGATGGAGGTCAGCTTTGCGCTTTACACTGATTTTCTATATGGACAGGGGCACTGGGAGAAGAAATCAACTAGACAGACTTGTATTATTTTATTTATTTATATTATATGGACATCCAAACAACATGAACCTTTGGGAAGGTAGCAATCAATAAAATAATCATAATGAAAAATGAAACTCAAGTTAAAAGATAATTGGACACAAAACAAAATAAACAAGCAATCGCCATCCTAAGTGGGCTCCCTCAAAACCCAGACCTGATGCTTTGTTCCTTTTGGGGATTATTTCTAAATATCAAGTGATAGATATAAAAACTGTATAGAAATCACTGTGAAAATTAAATAAATATATTCCTCATTCAGATTATTACAGTTCTTGAGTCTTATCATTTCCATTCATTCCTTTATTCAATTTTTATACAGTGCAACTGTTTCTTCCCCAGATAGTGCAAGATCAACCCTATGCATGGTAGAGACAATCTGTAGAATTACACTGCCTCATTTATCCCACAGATAAAATCATAAGGATATTTTCTGCATAAATAGTGTCAGGGAGGCAAATGTGAAACTGCTTTCTTGCCAAGTTGCAAATGTGAAACTGCTTTCTTGCCAAGTTGCAAATGTGAAACTGCTTTCTTGCCAAGTCCTCTAACTTTCAGAAAAGTTTATATTGATTGTATAGGTTTCTGGCTGTATAAGTTTATATGGTCAGAAAATAAAAGTGCAAGAGGGAAAAAATCTTTAGCTTTTACTCTGAAGAATTTCATTAGCCATGCAAACACACAACTGATATTAGCTTTTGATGGATTCTTCTTCTGGAGGAGCTCCTTCAAACCAGACCAAAGATAGGTAATAATATTTTCTTCCTTCAGTGCTTGCTGGAGTGTATGAGTGTAACTTACTTTCTTTTCTTTTTTTTTTGACATAAAGAACAAGTCACATAACCCTATTCTGCTTAGATTCTACATCTCAAAAGTATGCCACTCTTACTAAAACAAAAGAATCTTGTTTTACTCTCAACGGATTTGGATCAAATACTCCATCATTACAAATTCAGAGGAGCCACAATATGGTCGTAACATCCTATTTAAAAAGGCAAAATTTTCACAGGATATACTCAAACTCTAGTTTTCTACTGTTCCCTTAAGCATGAAGCATGCTTAAGAAGTACATCAATCTTAGATAGCTAACACTTCTATCTTCTACAGATTATTTAGAAGTAAATCTTACTAGGTTCAGTGAAAATGCCTTACAACCAGTTCTGGCACTTATGAAGATTGTATCATCCCCACAGTCACATGATGAAAATTTGGTTGCTTGACAACCAAAATGTAGTTAGGACAGCTGCAGCATCCTTGGAACATATGATTGTCATTTGTAACCTTCCCAGCCACTTTCCAATAAACACTCAGTGGGGGAAGTTGGACTTCCTTAATGACTGCACAATTCACTTCACAACTGCAGTGATTTGCTTATTTCACAACTATGTGAAAAAAGGTCATAAAATTGGTATGAAAAAAATTGCCTCATTTAGCAATAGAAATTCTGATCTTTATTATGGTCATAGATCCAGGACTATATGCATACACACACATATGCATGCGCGCGCGCACACACACACAAAGAAAACCACATATATATTTTTTCTTACCACATTATTTGGGGCATTTTTAGTAACAAATAAATAAACTATTCTAAATAATCACACTCTGAATATGTTTCTTACATAGGCAGAATTCTGTTTGAGTGTGCCAAGAACAAAATAACATGCAGGTGTATAAATAAATCATAAATCAAACAGATATATTGGTACTGTGTATTTGCTCAGAAAAATCTTCATTGAATACATATATATTTAAAATGTCATTTAATATAGCCAGCTTGCAAAGATATGGTACACATTGTGCTAGTTATTTGTACAAAAGCACATAGCAAACTATGCATCATGAAAAACGCCCCTTTTCTTGACCAAGAATTATAATCTCATAATGTAATATCGTACAGTCTGATCATAAATTGCTCTTAATATAAGAAACCCATGATATAAAATGAAAGTTAATTCTTCTTCCCCCGCCCCCCATATTTTGTAAAAAATTTCAGGTACTGAATGCTGATTATCAGTGCAACAAAGTCTGAAAATCAATATGCACAAGATATGTAGTATTGCAGCATTAAATTCATATGGAATAAAAAGGCATGAAGGAGTTAGGCATATACTATGGTTCACATACATACAATTGAATTGGATGAGCCTTTTCTTTTCACAATAAGATCAACAGTATCCTTATGATCTTTATTGACTGTTTCTTAGTATGATTTGATTGCTTATTGTACCATATGACTATCATTAAGTGTTGTACCTGATGATTCTTGACTCTTGACAAATGTATCTTTTCTTTTATGTACACTGAGAGCATGTGCACCAAAGACAAATTCCTTGTGTGTCCATTCACACCTGGCCAATAAAGAATTCTATTCTATTCTATTCTATTCTATTCTATTCTATTCTATTCTATTCTATTCTATTCTATTCTATTCTATTCTAACTGTACGTGACAAATGAACTGAATGCATCATAGACAGAACTGGTAAGATAAATTCTATTCAAGTAAACTTTAGAAATCAGCTTGCTTCTCTTTGTCTAACAAATCATGCATGAATGTCAACTCTGACTGATAAAAGGAACCAGATTTTTGCGGGTGTGCTCCTATCAGATGGTAGACATCTAATAGTTCAGCCAAAAGCTGGCTGCAGATTGGATCTAGTCAAACAGAAAGCCTTATATGACTTTGGCTTTCTTTAAGGAAAGAAGAAAAAGTTAATACCATAATCAGGCTGAGGCTGGACTGTCTTGATTCTCAGATATTCCCGGAAGAGAGTGACAGATGGGTCTTCTTTGGGATCCCTCTCCCCAAGCTTTTTAGAGTCTGGTAGCATGTTAGCCTTCTGGACTCCGGAGAGTAGAGTACTATATCAACTACAGGAAGAGAGGAACAGACAGAAAGTGAAGAACTGCACTTTTTCAACTGTGACTGGGTGAGAAGGAAGTTATCCTGGAAATAAGGAATGAAATTATGGTAGGGTTATGTTTCCCACTTCAAATTCCTGCACTGTACAGTATAAAGGTACCGTACTGTACCTTCAGCCAAAAAGCAACAGAGTATTAAAAATACCCGGAAGAGTCCCAGAGGATAGAATGAAACCTGCCTACCATCCTTGTCCTGTTGTTTCTTTTTATTTTTCTTATATGTATCCATTTCATGTATTCATAACTATGTTTATACTTATACCTGTCATCTTATAATCACTTGGCAAAATAAATAAAATAAACTGCCACCCTCCCCCGATATAGGATTGTCAGTCCTTAACTACTGCAGTCTAGGCAGAATTTCCACAGCTACAACTATACTCTGCAGAGCTGTGAGAGTTACACCCCATTCACGGAGGGTTCATCGGGGGCTGCAGGGGCGAAAGTCCGCAAGACTACAGTTACAAGCCCGCAAGGCAGCTTGAAACTGCCCGGCTCTGGCCCTTAGCGCCAGCCAAACACCCACCACCACCCACTTTCATTAGATTTTTCTCTCCCTGATACCGCAATCCAGCGCTCGCCTGCCTCCCTTGTAAGCTCCTGGCCCAGCGGCAACCAAGTAAACAAGTTCTTCGGCAGGGCACCTTGGAGGCAACGGTGGGCTGGCCTTCCCCCTCGTTCCCCCAGGGAAAAGAGCCGACGGTGGGGCGAAGCGACAGGGAAGCTTTTCCCGGGTAGCAAAGGGCCCCCCCGAAGTGGTAGTCTCTCCCTCTACCCTCCCCACCCACCTCTTTGCTCGTTGCGGAAGCCGCCACCGCCTCCCTCAAGCCTTGCTCGCCGCGACTTGACTCCACATCGTCCTCGGCGGCGGTGGTAGCAAGTAGCGCCGGGGAGGGCTGAGCGCAGAGCAGACCAATCTCCAAGGCGCGCGCCGGCCCGCCCGCTGGCGCCCAACCCGACGCCCGCCCTGCCTTGCTCCGGCCCAAGCCGGCGGGGGACAAACCGGCGCTGCGAGATTTCGCTTGGAGCGCTTAGGTTCCGCATGGCGTGCCCGGACGTGGTATTTGTCTTCTGCAAGCAGGGAAGCAGAAAGCTGAGAAAGTAGCTGGGTAGGTAGGGCAGGCAGGGACTTCGTGAAGTACTGTCAGGCCTTTGGCAGAGGGAATGGGTGGCCTGAAATCTACCCAAACAGGTAGTCCTAAACTTATGGGCCACGGCTGTGCCCAAAATTTAGGTTGTTGTGACAAATTTGCTGAGTTTTGCCTCATTTTTTCTTATATGTATCCATGTATTCATCACTATGTTTGCACTTATACCTATTATCTTGTAAGCAATTGACAAATCAAATCAAATAAATAAATTTTACCACTCTTAATCTGGTTTCCCCTTTGACTTGACTTGATCAGGTTAGCAAAAAGTGATCACGTGACTCTGAGACCCTGCAACTGTCATAAATGTGAATCAGTTCTCAAGCATCCAAATGGAAATCACACGACCATGGGGATGCTGCCAAGGTTGTAAGTATGAAACATGGGCCGTAAGTCACTTTTTTCAATGTTGTTGTAACTTCGAACGGTCACTAAGAGAACTGTTGTAAGTCGAGGACTACTGTATTTGGGGTTACTCAGGACAATGGGCGATGGCCCTTCAGGAAAAATATAATTTGGTTGCCCTCCATAGCAGGCCCAGTCTTAAACTAATTGTGGTGACTAATTATGAGTCACCTCGATATAAAAAAAGATGTTGAGATTCTAGAGTGCAGAGAAGAGCAACAAAGATGATCTGGGGACTGAAGGCTAAAACATGAAGAACGATTGTAGGAATTGGGTATGTCTAGTTTAATGAAGGACAAGGGGAGACTTGATAGCAGTGTTCCAATATCTCAGGGGCTGCCACAAAGAAGAGGGAGTCAATCCAGTCTGAAGGCAGGACAAGAAGCAATGGGTGGAAACTAATCAAGGAGAGAACCAACCTAGAACAAAGAAAAAAAAATCCCTATAGTTTGAACAATGAATTAGTGGAACAACTTGCCTCCAGAAGTTGTGAATGCTCCAACACTGGAAGTTTTCAAGAGATTAGATAAGCAATTTTCTGAAATAGTGTAGCGTTTCCTGAGAAGGGGGTTGGCCTAGAAGACCTCTAAGATCCCTTCCAACTGTTATTTTGTTATTGTGAATTGAGGTCCTCCAAGGTTATAGACATTTCCTCCCCAGTCAGAAACCACTTGTTTTCATTTTCAGCAGCACAAACCAGCCAAGTATATTTTAATTCACTATACTGTTTAAAAGCAGAGAAGATGGAGTAAATCACAGTAAAATCACCAAAAATGTACAAGCACAGCCAGTTGCAGTTAGCCATTTGTGTTTTGTGGTTGAAATCAGATTTTGGGCCAGATGTACGTTTAAGCACTTAGGTAACTTCTAATGAATTAAAATCAAGTTTTCTATACAGCCTGATGATAAAAATACTGCATAAATTTAGCATTTAAATTTATATAAATTTATAGTTTGTGAGCATCATAAAACCTGTAATAGAATCAAGATCTGAGGATGATTAACTTATGGCAGAACATTGGGATTTCATCCTTTATACTTCATATTATAATATTCCAGTAAAACTAGGTTACTAAAATTCAGCATGTGGAGAAAGAAATATATTATTTTTCCATCTCTTGCAATGTTTTAGCAGTCAAGAGACAAGGCTCCATTTCTGAAACAATTCCAAAATTCCAGATCTCCTCTCCTGCTTGGATAATCTGTTTTATTTTTTTAAATAGAGTCATTTTATATTCAATTATTGTGTTGCAGATTTAACAAAGGGAAGAAAGTATCAAAGTTTCCTTCTTTGAGTACAAGTCTTGGTAGAGCATTTCTAAAATCTACCACCTCTGTCCAGTACTTCAGTTTGTAACCCTATTCCAAGTAAACAACTGTATCTATTTTTCATGTTTGGGTAGAACTAACAGGTTCCAGAAGAAATGCAGTTGTATACAGAAAGCATTCTGACTTTTTAATAATACTGTTCAGTGAGTTTTGAATGCATCTTGTGTAAAAGTTGCATACTTTTAGTCTTCCTGTGACATGTAGTGACATGGCACCAGATTTTTTGCTGGAACATTTGCTGCCAATGTTCCCTTTCAGCTTCACAAACTCTTTGGTATTATTTATTGTCTTTGCCATTCAAGACCTTACAGTCTTCATTCAAAGTTGCAGTTTTGGCTACAGCACAGGGTCTGAATTTTAAGTATTTTTCAGCATTGGCTGGGAAAGCCAATCTGAATATTGTTCCTCAAACAGTCACATAAAGTTCCAGATTGAATGGGTCTCTAAGGTTCCAGTTATACAGTAGAAAAGACGAGATCTAAATTTTGATTCATCACTATTCAGTAATGAGTGCTTTCATTACATAGAATAGGGCTTGGCACATTTGGTTGAAGTGTTTCTGATCTCATGAGCATGATCTCTCTTGTTATTCATGAATGTAAACATGGTTTATCAGACTTATGCATGAGCTTTAAAAAGATGGTTGTATTAAAAACATGCTGCTTTAATTATTTGATTCATTCCAGAACAGCATCTCTTTGTGTTTCTGTTTGTGCAGAATACCAGAGAGGTATTCTTTATCAACCCACATGAGGTCTTTTTTGCAAATTGTTTTCAAAATATGAGGACCCGAATATGGATGACTCCACAATAGGAAAAGCTTGTTTTAATCTGAACCTTTCAGATTATAGTTATAGTTACTATATATCTTGGGGGGGCGGGGGTGTGTGTGTGTGCGTGTGTTCCTTTGAGTTCTGTTGTGTTGTATTGAGTTCTGGTGACTTCTGGCGACGACCTGGAGTAGACCCTGCAAATTCTCTTGGCAAAATTTCAGAAGTGGTTTGCCATTGGCTGCTTCCTACGGGTGAAAGAAAGTTAATGATACAAGGTTACCCAACTGTCTTTGTGCCTAAAGGGAAACTAGTATTCAGGTCTAGCCTGATGCAAGATGAGACTACATTACACCAAACTCATGTTTTTACCAAGAAGTTCTAATTAACTTTTATTCCTTTTGCTAAAGAAATGCCTATTTTTTGTAAAAAAAAAAAAAAAAGTATCAAATTCTAGCTGTTTCTAAATTGAGCTGTTTAAATACTTGCCCATTATTTTAAATGGTAATTTAAAATTGTTTTAAGAAAAAGTTGCTGAACTGCTTAAGGTGACTTTGACTACAAGAAGTATCATTTATGAATGAAGTAATATAAGGATACAAAATATTTTATTCACACCTTTTAAGTCGAAAGCCAAGTAAGCAATTCATATTTGTTCCCAGGACTGTCACCATTAAAATTGGAAGTCAGCAAGAACAAGAATTTGTACAAATATGTGGCTTAGAAGGTTTCTCTCCCTACACCTAGAAAAGATCTAGTATTGCAGTGCTCACATAGCAGCAATAGCTTAAATGCAACAAAAACAGTTATCATGAAAAATATACAGAACATACCAATGATACTTTAGGTATAAATGCACTTGATCATTTTATTAACTTTTATGCTAGTTGAATCATTATGGATCCTCTAAAGTTTCCAGTTACTTTATTACATGCATTCTTATAATTACCTGTAGTCATGTTCTGGGATATCCTGAGTGTTTATCAGTACATTGCTTCTACCTCCAGGTTGGTGGGTCATAGTACACCATCATACCAGATAGTCTCTGGGGTTGGAGTCAAGAGTTAGCACCACAGGCAAAAATCTTACCCAGCCTCACCTATTGAACTCCTGGAGGGAGCATTTGGGGGGGGGCAAATTCAACAATTTTAATGAATGCAGTTGGAGAAGAGGGGGAAGAATTTAGATGCCAAGAGAATGAAGAAGAAATAATTGATCTACATGGATACCTAAGAATGAATGGAAATAGTGAAAAGCCTGCTTAGATAATATGCTTTTTTTTTTAAAAAAAAATGTGGTTTAAGCAGAAGTCTTCATACCTGGATGTGCCAAAGGAATTAATATAAATCTAAAAGTGTCACTAATTTATTTAAGATGAAAGACAGAGACAATGAAAGGATGTAAAGGTGACGGGAGATTCTGAATGGAGGAGAGGGCAATTTTTGTAGTATGAAAAATGCAGTTTGGCAAGAATGGACACAGGAGAAAAAAAGATTAAGGATAGTAGAGTGAAAGTAAAGCCACTATAGAGAAAGAGATTATGTGAATGTATTAGAATATGAATCTCCTAATGAAAGCAAGAAAAAGAGAGAGAGAGAGAGAGAGAGAGAGAGAGAGAGGGAGGGAGGGAGGGAGGGAGGGAGGGAGGGAGGGAGGGAGGAAGGAAGGAAGGAAGGAAGGAAGGAAGGAAGGAAGGAAGGAAGGAAGGAAGGAAGAAAGAAAGAAAGAAAGAAAGAAAGAAAGAAAGAAAGAAAGAAAGAAAGAAAGAAAGAAAGAAAGAAAGAAAGAAAGAAAAAAAAAACTGCATATGAAAAAAGATGGTGTGGAACCTGCTAGGCAAA